TCCAGGGAACATTATATCGCCCACGGTTACATAAGCAACGTTGGTACAGTTGTTGGTTACAGTTGGCAGTTTTCCCAAGAATTGCGAAGAAGCAGTCACAAGACTCTAAGTTAATTGGTCATGCCAACCAGCTGTGCCCAGTGATATCCTTATACCCTGCCCTTTGGAAGTCTCTATTAAACGCAGGGTCTCGAGAACAGTACAAAACCGTACATAAGGACAAAACTCTCAGGTCCAGCACTCTGCCATCCTTTATAAAACCAAACCAACCAACCAACCAACCCAAACCATGCTTTAGGACGCCGTCCTCATTAGAAGGATGCTTTAATGATTAACTTAGTGGAACAAGCCAGGGCCCATGGAGAACCGCTTGGGAAGCATCTCCCTACATCTCTGGGGTGGTTCCAGAATAAAACTCATCATCTGCGAAGAATGAGGACGTGACCCATTCGCTTGGCTCAGGGCATTTCTCCCCGCGAAACCGGAAAACCCGGCTTTGGGCCAGGAAGCTGCGGGCGCACGTGGGCGGGCCGCGGAACCACTTCCGGCGCGGGGGGGCGGGGGCCGCGGGCGTGCGGAGAGTCACGGAGGCCGCCGGGCGTCGGGCTTGCCCGGAGGGGCGGGCCCAGGCCCGTTTCCGGGGGCGCGCCCGGCTAGCGCGACGGTGATTGGCCCGTGCCAGCTGCCGGAAGGCGAAGGCGGAAGGGCGAGCGCGGGCTTCGGCGGCGGCTTCTGTGGCTGCTGCGGGGAGTGGCGGGCGGCCGTGGCGGCGGGATGCAGGCGCGCGCGGCGACCGAGAACGGACGGGACGCCGTGCGGGAGCGGCGCGGCGCGGGGGACGCCGGGAGGCCGCAGCAGAACCACGACGTGCGGCCGCGCTCCGGGGCCCCGCCGTGTCCGAAGCATTCGTACTGGCTGGATCTGTGGCTCTTCATCCTCTTCGACCTCGCCTTGTTCTTCTTGGTGTATTTCCTGCCCTCGTGAGTTCCCCGCAGGCGCCGCTGGCGGGGCGAGGATCTGGGTGAGCCTGGGCGCCCCCGGGGAGCGGCGGCGGGGGAACGGGAGCTGCGGCAGTTCCCGATCAGAAGCGGCTGCGCTGGCGAGCAGCCAGGTCTGGGGACGAGGGCCAGCGTGGGAAAGGCCTTATGGGACACCCCGGTGGGTGGCGGTGGGGAAGTGGGGTCTCCCTCCCAAGAGACGGGCACACCACCAAGACCTGGCTTCTTCGTTGGTCTTGTGGGAGCCAGTCGGCGGGGGGTTTGGTCTCCTGCGCTCCTGCTCCTGCTCCTTGAGCCTCCGGGGACTTGATTTTGCTCCTTGTCCAGTTGGCACAAATGATAAGCAGGTGGTCGGGGTGAAGACTAAACCGAGAGTTTCCCTAAGAACTGTTTGCAAACTGTCCGGCACAGAAGTTAGCGTGCAACCAAAGTTGCCCAACTGAGTGACCCCTGTGGCCAGGGGTACCCGGGCAGGAAGCGTCAGTTTAGGTCGCAGACTGACCGCTTCTCACCAAATGTCCCGATCCGTATCGTACTGCTCCCATGGTAGAACCTGGGCCACTCTTGATGCCTTTTGAGGCCTCTTGATTCCCTCTCACCTCCCATTTCTTTCACACACCAAGACAATTTTCACACTTGCGCGGATCCGGCACAAAATCCTCCAGTTTGAACTCAGAAGGCCCTCTTCGCTCTATAAAGAAAGTGTTGGCAGGGAATGAATGAGAAGACGCGGGGGGCTGGGGGGGGGGGGGCGGGGGGCAGACAGCGCAGGCAGCGGGCGCACCCGGGACCCAGCAGCTAGTAGGGGGAGAGTGGCTTGAGCAGGAACACCCTGATGGAGATGGGGCCACAGGACGGAGCTGCGCGCAAACTGTCACCTCCCTCCCGTTGTTCATCAATTCCTTCCAGCGCACACCAGTATCATCTCCATTGTGAGACTTGTTACTGGTTTTGTCATATCAGGTACATCACGGAGAGCTTGCCAGGCTTTGCCCTGAGGGCGAGATACTCTCGGTAGCTTGTGGGGCTCTCCGAGAGGAATCGAACCCCAGTCGGCCACGTGCAAGGCAAACGCCTTACCGGCGGTGCTATCACTCCATCCCTAACCTTTAAGCGCTTGGGAATTCGCTCATTCCTGCCAGTTTACTTCCTCCAGGCGTCAGGTTTAGGGCCTTAGGAGGTTGCACTCCTTGATGAGCAAATAGCTGCCTCTCTTCACCCCACCCCCAAGTCTGGCAAAGATCTGGGCATCGACAGGGCATCAGAGGTCTCTGGTCTCTTGGACAGTACCACAAATTTGAAAGTATAAGGTTGAGGGGGTGCGGACGGAAGAACAAAGGAGGGTTGTCTATAAAAAAGTCTTTATCGAGCCAGAATTTTCACACTCCCCCTGCAATCTGGGTACTATACCTCAAATAATGCGGGGTTTTGTTCTTGTTTTACGATCTGAATTTTTTTAGCGGAACAGAAAACGCGGATCCGGCGTTTTCCGTCTTGGGATGGCCCAGGTGTGTTTTATTTTTTTCCTGATCAATGTGTAAATAATCGGAAGTAGGCAAGTGACTATGAATCCAGATTTTCAGAAGTTGAACTAAATATTAAGATAGGAAAAGAAATTAAACATTGTTGATAGATGCTTGTTTTTTGCAGAGTGGTTTGCCTGCTACCTAAATGAAGAAGTTGCCTTCTGGAGTAGATTCTGAAAATGAGACTACAGACTTCAACATAGAAGACAAGATTGTAAAACAAGTTCAGACTTCTGAAAGACTTTTCATTTTCTATAATGTTACTCATTTGGGGACTGTATTGAATGGGTAATGATCTTATTTATAGCTAACTTACTATAACTGGACTGTGACTTATATTTAAAACTTCTTCACACGTTTGATGGCTTTACTGAATATAAAACCATAAAGGTTTAGTTATTCTTTAAGAAATGCAGTAAATAAAGTAACATTGCCAGCATAAAACAAAATGGAAACTCTTAAAATCCACATTACCTCAAGTGAAAACTAATATGGGGAAGGGGAGAAAAATATTTAACATGTTCAGACTTGGCCAGTGTTTAATATCATGCACAGATGGTAAAATAATAAAAGGAATAATTCCGAGTTAAAAAAAGCAATTCCCAGTGTAAGTCCCATTCTTTTATAGTTGCCAGATAGGTAAGATTTGAAGGCAGCACATAATACCCAGCGTTGGAGAGCTAGATTGTCCTTTGAACACTTCCTCCTCCTTCCCTTTAAACTCTTGAATTTGCTAAAATAGGTTGTTTCAAACCTATTATTATGGTTGCATCAAGAATGTTTGCAAGCATAACAGGTATTTTTGTAACTCGAATCCTGCAGCAAAGTAGCAGATTTATTCCTTCAGCAGCTATTTGCACACTATGGGTCCATAACAGCAGGGAACAGAAGACGCTGAAACCATTCCTTCATTGAGCTGACGTTCGTGTGAATTTACACCCTCGGATTTAATCATTTGCAGTCAGAGGTTGCACTCCCAATCCAATGCTTCTAGCCTATGAGAAGATACTCCTGTTTTTTAATCACTACTCTTCACAGATCAGAACTGAGCTCTTACTGAAATTGGTGCCATTCGAAATAAATAAGGTATCTAAATATTTTGGGGGATAATCCCTCCCTTGGAAAAGGAAACGGGTATGGTAAACACTAGATCCTCTGCCTTTGAGGAATAGCATTTAGGGTTAGAATGAAATTTTAGGGACTGATTTAAGATTATTTTAATTGTCTAATGCCAACTACAAGATTAATGATACCCTTTAGGGTATTGCCTCTCTGAAGAGAACCAGTTATGCAAAAATTAAATCAACTTAACAGAAACAACTGAAATTTCATTGAGAATATCAGATTGTATACACTTTGTCTAATAAATGTTTGCTATAGAGCTTAACTTGGTCTGACTTGTTTTTTTGGGTACCAGGTTAAATGGTATACTTTAAGTTTACTTCTGTTTGCCCTGAAATACATAATCCCTATTGGGGGTGGTTGAACATGGAAACCAAAGTGCACATAATGAAATCTGATCAAAAGTAAAATTGTATGTTTCTACTTTATATTTAAATTCAGTTGTGAGTTGGAAAGAAATCTGAAAGGGAAGAGAACTAGCTCAATGGTGGAGCACATGGGTTATAAGAATGAGGTCTGGATTCAGTCCCCTGTAACATACACACACATACACACACACACACACACACACACACACACACACACACACGCACGCACGCACTCCCTGCCCCCCCAGCTATGAATCTGTAAGACTGCTATTAAATATCAGAACTAGTTTAAATACTTCAGATACTAAAATTTTAAACACAAAATAACAGGCAATTATTTTAATCTACATTGAAAGTTGTTAAAAATAATTGAAATAAACCATTTTCTCTAGTATTTTACAATCTTACAAAAGTATTAAATACAGACACTTCAAATACAGTTTAACAAACTTTACAATATATACAAATCCTCCGTACTAAAAGTCATGTTAAAAATAATCTTTTTTTTAAGATAAAATTTACTTAAGCTAATACTCAAGTATTTCTGAACTAAGAATGTAATCACTTGTTGAAGTTAGAAAAAAAAAAATTAAGAACTTAAGTGGCAGACACAATTTAACCATAATTGGGTAACTGAGGTTAGACTTTTACAAGCAATGATTTTTTGATTTTTTGGAAATGTTCATTCTTAATCATTTAGCATTTTGGAATACAATTGATGAATTTGGTAAAAATATTAAATTTACTAATTATAACATTGTTAACTTACAAGCATCTGTTAACAGCTGTAAGGAACTTTTAAATTCTGTAATTCAATTCTCTGGAGTAGGTAATGAAAATAGGCTACAGCTTACCAGCTAAATATAAAGTGATAATAAGGCAAGGTAACTAATTTTACTCGTAAGATTATCAACATAAATGGAAATTTCCTTTATTAAAGCCCTCTCCATGGAAGCAGTTGAGGTAAAATTACTATTTGTTTAGAGTAGGAAAAAGATGCTTAAATGATACATTTCATTAAAATTAAACCCTCCACACTAAAAGCAGAAGCTTACTCTAGAAAACAAGATGGGTTTTCAAATTCAAGACTACAAAAACCAGTCAAGTGAACTGATAGCCTGTAATTAGGTAAGATTTAAAATGAAAAAACTGAGACAATCACAGTGACATTCCCAAGGGGAGGGCTCTGGGTGAATTCCTAACACTGGTTATTAGCAGCCCAAAACAAACCAAATAAAATTAGGAAAAAAAAAGTAACAAGATAAATGACTAAAGTTAAGTCTTTTCATTGTTTTTAGCTTATGTGGATAAAGTAATGTTTATGAACACAGTCATGTAAATTAGGCATTCCATAAAGGTTTGAAAATGAAGCAAAACTAGTTTCTCCTGTCCTGGCCTTGATAATTTTAGAATTGCTGTATCATTAAGGCTTTCTTTTTTTCTCCAAATGTTATCTGCTTCATGGGTCAACATAAAACATTTTTAAGACACTTATATGGATCATTTGTAATAGACTATCACAGAAGTCAAAAACAAATGGGTGAAGCCCTCTCTTGGTTACCCATTGGAAAGTGCTTCATAAAGCAAATACTGTTTTGACTACACAAGCCATGTATTTATTACCTGGTATGTCTCAGTGAACATGGTTTACTAACCTACATATGTGAGTTTGGTTACTTTAATACTCATGGGCCTCCGAGACACAAAATAAAGGAACAAATTACATCTTTATTCACCTGCAGCAGACAGTAAAAATATTTTGCATACCCCCCTGACTTTCTATTCTTCATGGAATGAAAAGAGAAAGTTTCTAAAATATTGAATACGTTTATCATCACAAAATCTGAAATAAAATATATCTATATACACATATATAAAGTTAAAGTGATTATTGACTTAAAAAATGTAGTTTTAATTTCACTATGTCACTATGTTTGGTCAGTCGGTTCCTCTAAAGCTGTCACATTCTCTGAGAAGCTTGCTAGTTCACCATTTACCGATCACAATGAATGTTAGGCTTATATCTTTGCTCAGAAGGGCAATTTGGATCAAGGCTACTATGTAACGTGGGCCCTACTCCTCTTTCACTCTGAGAAAGTGAATTATCATGACCAAATCCACTGTTCTCTGGGAAGCAGAGCTTGGGCCTCTGATGGTACTTCAGTCTGTATGTATCAGTCATGCAGCTGTCAACTGAGAAATAGGTGGTTAATGAAATGGTCTCACTTGGGCCGGGAGGAACAGAGTCTATTTCTGGTTGGCAAAAAGCATCAACCACTGTCTGCTTGAAACCCAAGTCTGCTTGAAAATCATTAGCTGCCGAGCCAGAGGCGCAGCCTGGGGTGCTGCCAACCTGCTCTCTGCCTTGAAACGTTTCCTTAATTCGTTCATCATTCACGTAGGCACTCGCCTCGAGCCCTGGCTCTGATGCTGGGCTGAGAGCAACATGCTTCGGAAGACTGGAGGATTTCGCTTTATTCTGGTCTGTAAGCTTGCTGTCAGGTGTGGGATCATTTTTCTCTGACTGTGACATGGTGTTCATAGCATATTTCTTTGGTGGTAAAGGAGGTGGTAGATTCTGGCAAACAAGTTTTGGCATCTGACAACCCTCAGATCTGCAGGTTGACTCAACGATATGTTCCCTGGATAAAGAGTTTTCCAAGTAACACTGTTCCATCTTAGTTGGCTGCTGGTTCAGAGAGCCAGTTTCTGGGTTCGCCCCAACAGTTCTCACATGTAAAGACCACAAAGGAGATGTGGCAACTGTTTCATTACTGTTCACTCTCTTTCCAGAAGCAGAATTCTCCTCAGTGGGAGAAAGTAAACCTGTTCTCTCAGAATTTTCCACATGAAGCCGCTCAGAAAACTTGGGTTCACTTGACTTCTCAAGTTTCTGTTCCTCTGAATGATGGAGATGTTCTTTTGCCGGGTGGTCTTTGAGTGTCTGTGGACTGGATGAAGAGAGTAACTTGCCACTGGTTTCACGTGGATGTGACCTGAAAGATAAATCAGAGCCTAAGCTAAGTGACCATATGCAATATACAAAGCCAGAGGGGAAAAAAACCAAATACTTGTCCTGTAGTTTAGCTTCCTACTATAGTCTGTGCTACCTCTGTGATGGAACAGAAATGAGAAGGTATTTGAATCTAATAACATGTCACTCTCTGAATTCAGAGTCTTTGTGCCAGGACAGAACAGTGCTTACCAAAAAGACCTGCCATTACCAAAATCAGAATCCTCTTAGGGGTACTAGAAAAATCCCTTATCAATTTACAGACAAATAATTTGTGATGAAATATAGAAAAGATTTAAGGAAAATGTTACAGTAGCACTGCCCTACCAACAACATCACAAGTTTTACTGAAAATAGAAGGACTTTCAATATAGTTGAAAATTTAATCTAATGCTATAATGATAATGTTCTAATTAGAAATAATCTAGTTAAATCAAAATCACCTATATTTGGGCCACTGTTAACTTCTATTGTGAAGATAAATCGTTACCACGTTACAAAATATTTTTCCTTGTGTAACTCAATTATTTTTCTTACAGAACATGGGATTCAATCAGAGCCAAACAAATAAAAGGCTTTCGGCCTTGCTAGGCAGGTAAGTGCTCTCAGATTTCAAATTAATTGCTGAATCTCAAATTTTTTATTTTATAAAATAAGGATGCTATGAAAAATCATGTTTATTCTGTAAAACCTCTAACCCTAAGATCTACACGATTTTACAGATTCCCCAATTTAAGAGAGGCATCGTAATACTGCCTATTCCTTTCAAAGCAGTGAATGTTATATGCATCTATTATGTCATTCTGATAGAAGTGTATCTAATAAAAATACTGTAATCTTTACAAATATCCCCATGATTACCTTCTCATCAAAGAAGTTTTTATTTGTAGATGTGATTCTGAGTGGGAATCATGGGATAAACGGCCTACTTCCAAGTTCTTGATTTCTTTTTTAAAGCCTGAGGAAATGAAGGATAAAAATAAAATTATCTAAATAATCTATTAGAATTTATACTGCTTATACTTCTCAGGTTATTCCATGTAATAAGCAAATAAAAAAGAATGTTTCAAGGCTCAGCTCAAACTATCTATTTAATGAATCCTTATATGAAGCTAATAGCTCTTTCCTCATTTTGTTATCACTTGAACTTTCTGTAATTCAAATTACATTATAATTTTACATCTATTGATTCTTATCTTAAAATGTTAAATTTACTTAAATTATCCCTTAAATTAACTTATTCATAATTTTATTATACACAAAAAAACAAGAAAATATCTATATTCTTGGTTCTTAAAGGTCTACTTTTATCAAGGTCTCCACTCAATGGACAGTAGGAGGCAGCAGAGTTTTTAAAAATATAGTTGAAAATTTAATATCTCTACAGCAGGCACTCAACCAAGAGGTCTGACTTCAAAATTCCAACAAACTTAAAAATAGATGTGCTATTTTTCTCCTCTGCTGACACAGCCATCCATGTGTCTTCACTGGGAATTTTGGCCCTGGGTTCTCTGCAAATCTAAGACCATCCAATTTTAACACCTGGCACAGAATAACGCCAATCTTGGCAGTGTATCCAAAAATATCCCTAGGTCCAATATTCAAGAACTCGGAAAATATACTTTGTCTGAAAAGATGACCTAGATTTTGGAACAGACATAACAATAAGACTGACTGTGTACACTTTACTCTTGTCTGAGATTTCAAAATATAATACTACAAATTACAAAATCTAGACATTCAATAGCCAGAGCCCAGCTACCTCCAGCCCTGCGTCTGGGGGCCCCTCCCAGAGGTGCTCATGCAGAATTGGGGCTCATGCAGAATTGGGGCTCATCACGGAGCTCTCTCCCTCCACCCTCACAAGGCCCATCCCTTCCTCCTATATTCCTGAACTTGGCAAATGGTGATGTGACCCCTTGTTTTTACCCTTCACTTTAAAACCCTAGCTCTACTGCCCATGCCCTCTCTCAGACCTTCCTGGATACTGTTGCTGCCTTATATCCTCACGCTTTCTTCCTCGGAAGCTAAACTCACCATCTTCCTCATTTTCTCCCACTGCTCCCATAATCCCCCCTCTATGGTGCCAGCCAACAGTCTTTTCTGAAGCCCCAACAGGAGCACGCCACAGGCCTCACTGCGGAGTCTAAAAATAGCACAGAGGTTTCATCAGCACTTGGCTGCCTTCCATTCCTCACCTCACAGTTTCCATGCATGTATTCTAGTCCCACATACAACAGACTGTACCCTCCAAGTAACTGGTACTCTCTCCTGACTGTGGACTTTGGAATATACCATTTCTTGTCTCGAATGGAATTTAAGGCAGTTGAAATTTCCCCATAAGTGGCTCATAAAAAAGAAAAAAAGCTAAGACAATCCAATGGCACCATAGGAGTTCAATAAGTATATAAAATAATAGCCTTATATATAGTTATAAATGAATAGCTGAATAGGAGTGGATACTTTGCAGAATAACTCATAGTAACATTTATACAGAGAAATCTATGTAGATATTTCATCAGTGAAGAAATAACAATGAAATTATTTATTTTTTGGGGGGGTCACACCTGGCAATGCACAGGAGTTACTTACTCCTGGCTCCGCACTCAGGAATCACCCCTGGCGGTGCTCAGGGGACCATATGGGATGCTGGGAATCGAACCCAGGTCAGTTGTGTGCAAGGCAAATGCCCTACCAGCTGTGCTATCGCTTCAGCGCCAACAATGAAATAATTTTAACACCATTATTACAGACTAAATTATCTACCATTAAGAAAACATAAAGAAGCTTATAAATAGGCTAAAATGAACTTAAATTGTCAAAGTTTGAAAATAAAAATGTTTATAAAGGCCTCTTATTTCCTAAATCTTTTAGCTACTGATATAAATTTAAAGTGATTCTTAGGGTCAGTGATGCATGGATGTCCCCATATTATGAGGATCAGGAGTGAAATAAGAAAACCATACTTAGTGCCAAGAATTATACCTTATTGGGGAAAAAAATCCACATGGGGCAAGATTCAGATTAAAAAAACCTTTGGCTTAGCTAGATGGGCCTACTGGGGTGGGGTGGAGGTGGAGGTATGCCCACAAATAGGCTCTGTGTTGCAAGGATATCCACAAAGATATCTCGGGACAAAGGTTATTTGAAAGAACTATGCTTCTAAGCTCATTACAGCAGATGTCATTCCAAGAGCCCAGAGATGGGCCAGTAGAAAGGTGCTTGCAAGCATGAAGCCTTGAGTTTGATCCCCAATACCACTCCACACACCACAGTGACGGGCTGCAACCAACTGAGTTCAGGTACGGAAACCAGTGGGAAGGGACGTTCAGTGAAAAGGAGTCAGGTTAATATGATACAATGCATGTAGCTAATAAGGGGGTTGCGGCAAAACCACTCAGATTCTACTTCACAAGAACTGCATGGCACCCTATAACAAAAAAAAGAAGAAAACAAGAGCAGAAGAAATGGAAAATCACAGAGGTTTGAGGGTGGTTCAGAGAGGAAGGGCCTGGGCTCTACCTCAGACCACATGGTCTCCGAGCCCCAGGGCACTACCGGCATGGTCTCTCCCCAAATCCTGAAAAAACATACATTCTTAAATGGGTAGAAAGAAAAAAAAATTTAAACGAAAGGAAATAAATGCTAGTGAGGATGTACAAAAACTGGAATCCTAATGCACTGCTACTGGGAAGGTGTAGTTGCTGCGAAAACCATGCCAGTTCCTTGAAAAATAAAATAAACAAAAATAGTTACCTCAAAATTAAGAAATTGCTCTTCTGAGTAAATACTCAAAGGGGCTGAAGGGAAGAACTGGCAGATTTTTACACCTGTTTTCACAGGAGCAAAGCAGTGAAAATAATCCAAACATCCATCAAAAGATAAACAGATAAAACATGTTCTAGAAAAATAATATAATAGTTAGCCTTAAGAAATCCTGATATGTGCCACTCTGGAGAGATAAACACTGCCCAATTCTACTCAGACATCTTGTCAAATTCTTAGAAGCAGTAAGAACTATGGTGGCTGCCAGGAGCTGAAGGGCTGGGGGAAACGGGCAGAATTATGGAGTGTTCAATTTGGGAAGAGGAAAGAGTTGCTAGAGAGGGATGACGGTGATAGTTGGAGAACAATGTGAATGGACTGAAGACCACTGGACTGGCATTGAAAAGTGGTTGGAACAGCAAAATGTGAGGTGCATTTTAGCAGAGGGAACAAAATTCAAGGGCTAGGGATGCGGCTCGGGTTAGAGCTCATGCTACACAATGTGAGGCCAAGTTCAAACACTGGCAACACACACACACATACACACACTACATATTCTTTCATATAAGGAAACTGACTACAAAGCTCTCATAGCAATGCACTCTTGACATCAAAATCTCCGTGGCCTTGTATGTGTACTACTAGCAGGAAGCAAGCATCATTTTGAAAAGAATACTAAACTTGCCGTTTATTGTTCGGTCTCACCAACCTCTGCTGTTGACTTCTAGCCAGCCCTTTACTGTTTCCTGTAATACTTGATTACTGGACTTTTATCAGATCTTTAAAACAGGCGAAACATTTTAATATGGGAAAGGAAAGCTATTTCCTTAATATAAGTGTTTCCTTCTGATATTCTGCAATGTAATGAAAGCAGCGTAATTTTGTATGTAACACACTCAATGTCAATATTCTGAAAAAATGATCTCCACAGAAAAAAATGGCTGGAGGAATCGGTCGGGATGGGAGACGTGTGCAGAAAGTAGATAAAGGACCAAACATGATAACCTCTCAGGGTCTGTATTGCAAACCATAATGCCCCAAAGTAGAGAGAGATTATGGGGAATCATGTTTGCCATGGAGGCAGAGGGAGGGTGGGAAATGGGGTTATACCGGGGATACTGGTGATGGGGAATGTGCACTGGTGGAGGGATGGGTGTTTGATCATCGTGTGATTGTAACCCAAACACGAAAGCTTATAACTATCTCACAATGATTCAATTAAAAAAAAAAAGATCTCCACAAATGCCTTAAGGATGTTAAAGAATAAAAACAAACTTTAAAATTTGTTCTACATGGCTCACTATTACAAAAATTAGATCCCTTATAATTTCTGAATTCTAAAATTTGAAAGCAGTATCCTCGATAGGAACTCAATAGTCTCTTCACACATCTTTTCCCTCGATATCTCTCCAAATGTGTTCAGCTGTTTTCTCATTTTCTTTGCGTCAGGGTTTCTACACATTACCAACTAGTCTCCTACATAATGCCACCCAGTGATATTTACTGACCCTAGTCTGAACTTTAGCAGTAGTTTCTCATTCTCACTCTATGTCCTTTTTCTCCCGTAGTAGACAGTAGGATTGTTCAGACATATCTCAGTTCAGCATCCAGTCACCAATAAAACTGCACTTTCCCACCTTTTTTGGAATCAGGCCAAGCTATGAGATTTGCCTTGGCCAACGACCTATGAGAGTTCGTGCATTATCACATTTGGGCTCAAGTACCAAGAACTCACACCTGGTTCTCCACCTTTGTCCTCCCCACAGCCTGGCAATGATCCAAAAGCCCTTTTTGAGATTGGGGCCCCTGCAGTCCAGGGTCCTGACTGATTCACTCCTGAGACTACACTGCCCACATTCCACACGGATTGTAACAAGAAACAAGCTAGTATGAAGACAGTGAGAACTGTGAACGTCCCGGCTGATATACTTCCCTGCCCTGGCACGCCGCAAACCTTCATCCTTTAGAGAGTTTCAAAAGCATGACCTCTCCCAAATTCCATTTTCATTAATCAAGAAGGGGTTGCTTGTTTGGGGGCCACAGGCAGCAGTTCTCAGGGGGACACTCCTAGTTCTATGTTCACGCATTGCTCAGTCTGCTGAGTTCTCTCTCCAGCCCTAACCATGAGCTTATCAGATCATAAGTCTCATTCTTATTACCATGATTTTATTCATTTTACTTTTTTTTTGGGGGGGTGGAATTTGGGCAACACTGGCTGTGCTCAGGGGTTCTTTCTGGCTCTATAGTCACAGATCACTCCTGGCAAGACTTGAGGGACCGTATGTGGTGCTGGTATCAAAACCGGGTTGGCCACATGCAAGGCAAGCACCCTACCCACTGTACTCCACTGTTCTCCATTCCCCTGTGGTTTATTCTTTACTGTTAGCATTACAATATATTTAAATAAAATCTTTACCTTCCATGTGACTTTTGCTTTGTTGAGAGGTACAGTTAGAGCGTTCTATATTTAGGTTGCTTGTCTTAATCTGGTCACTAGAAAAATAGAATAAAATATCACCAAACACATTAGCTATCATAGATTATTACTTGAGTTTAAGAAAAAGGAATTAAAATTTGTTAAACCACTAATTATATCCCATATGTTGTATTAATAAATACTACTTAATTTATACCTCACGATAATATAAAAAGCAGCTATTATCCTTGGAGCTATTACATTTGGAAATTAAAGCCATGAAAAGTCAAATAAATTTCTCCAATAATTAAAATCTAAATCAATCTGGTTATAAAAATCTTGAGATTTCTACTAACTACGCTATCCCTTTCCAAGAAGTGATGAAATTACTCTGCCAAATAAAAAGTTCCCCTAGAGATTTTATTATGATAATTTTTTCACCCTCTCAGAGGAGCCTGGCAAGCTACCGAGAGTATCTTGCCCACATGGCAAAGCCTGGCAAGCTACCTGTGATGTACTCGATATGCCAAACACAGTAACAATAAATCTCACAATGGAGACATTACTGGGCCTGCTTGAGCAAATTCATGAACAACGGGAGGACAGTGCTATAGTGCTAATTTTTTCAAAAAAACATGAGCAGGTAAGTTTTATAAATCAGTCTATTAACGCATGTGGTAAAGCATCATAAAATGTTAAGACTGAATACATTAAAAACAAAAACAGCGATTTCAATGACCTCAAACTGTAGCTGATTAGGCTGAATTATATTAAGTTCCACAGAAAAGAGAAAATTTACAACAATAATGTGTTCAGAATCAAGTGAACAGAAAGATGGTCACTCTTAATAGTTGCTAAAAGAAAAACATCCCTTCTATGCAACTAAGTTGCAAAACCTGAAAACAATCCCAGTCTGAGTTATAGTCATTATGGATGGGAAATGAGCATTAGCTTGAAAAATGATAATATTAGTTTAATGATCAATTATGTATGCAATTTGAATCTGTACTTTAAATTTGTAGTGCACATCAACTGATTCAGTGATTATGATAACACATATTGTACTTAGCGAATTTCATAAAAATTATGTTTTTGAAATCAGAAAATATCTACCAAAAACAGAAAACTGAACTATCAAATAATCTGCAATACCCCAGCAGATTAAATCATTACACTTGTCTGACCCTAAACTTTGACAATCACCTCAAGAACTGAGAGAAACAAGGAGGGGGACACCACTTAACCTGTGTATTACCTCAGGGGTACTGTTTCTTTAGCACCATTGGTATCCAGAACTGTACCATGTCCGTCAATAACAGGTGAGTCCAGGCTGATAGATCCATTACTGATATGATCACTGCTTTCGTATCCAGACTCTGTCCTCTGCATCTGCCAGTTCTCACCATGAACTTTAGTCTCCTTGAGGCCCTTATTTTTTTCCACTCCTTTCCCACCAGATTCAAGGGAACTCCTGCTTCCTGTTTCCTGCTTCGTTTCATCTTCATATATGGTCATCAAACCCTTTTGCTTTGCATTCTCTTTGGGCCAATTGTTAGAACTCTGATCTTTACTATATTTAAGCTTGCTAACATTATTTGATTTATGTCTGGGGCTATGTTGCTTTTTTTCACTTTCATTGAAAATACTATCAACATTTAATGTTTCCCTCATAGGCTTCCAACTTCGGTTCCGGCTTTTACTGCTGCTAACAGATCCGCTTCCTCTGTCACGAGAATCTTGGCTGCTGTCAGTGTCATACCCAGTACTAGCGTCATTCTTAGCTTTGCCGGTTACTTTCTCTCCCTGAGGGAGAACCTGGGACTTGCTGGAACTCATTGTTTGTGCCGAAGCTCGACTCTGCTGGGCAGTGCGATCATGTTTACAAGGTCCCTTTCCCTGGCTATGATAGAAATGTGGATTTCCATGCTGTCGGAAGCCATCTGGGGCGGGTGGGCCAGACTTGGAATGAGGAAGGTCTTCAGCAACCAAATCTTTGAAAACAGATAAAGACACTAATGAGTTTCTCTTCATGACACCTTTAAGTCAAATGTCTTGACTGAGAGTTAAACAGTGACAAATAACTATAATTTGGGGTCACATCGTACTTCTGAGACTAAAAGGGGCCGTTTAAAAAGAATATGCATAATCAGGCCCCAGTAACATAAATGGCTATGTACTGACTTCAAACACTGATCTCTAGGGCTAGAATGATAGTACAGTGGGTAGGGTCCCTGCCTTGCATACAGCTGACCCAGGTTCAATCCCCCGCATCCCATGTGCTCCCCTGAGCCCACCAGGAGTAATTCCTGGATTCAGAGCCAGGTAATCCCTGAGTTTAACCAAGTGTGATCCAAAAAAAAAAAATTATCTCTAAGGAAGATCATAACTGAAACTTTTTTTTTCAGTTATTCCCCATCAGTTCTCAGAGGCTATTTCTGGCTCTGTGCTCAATAGTGATCCCCAAATGGTGCTTGAGGGGACATATTAGGGATCACAGATGGAACAGGATTCATACACACACTGGGCAAATGCCTTAACCTCGTACTGTCTCTCCGGCTCAAGAACTAAAAAAAAAATTTTTTTAAGCATTCTGTAACAATTTTACTAAGTGAAAATTATAAATATATATGCTTCCTTTCATACTGGCAAAAATTCGTAAGTTTAACTAACTGCTGTTGAAAATGGAAGAAATAGACATTTCCTCATTGTTGGTGAGAATGCAGGGTGGTTCAGTCTTTTGGGAGGGCAAATGAGCCAGCTATACAAATCAACAATAAACATACCCTACACATAATACTTCATAAAGGTAAATGTGAGGATATGTCACTGTGGCAATAATCTTAAATCTTTAAATTCCATCAGAATTGGTTAAATGATGGTATGTTCATGGAGAAAAGACCACAAACCGAAAAAAGAGTCAGACATGCTCAAAATAAACTAAAAACTACTTATAGTGGAACAGAGGAAAGTTCAAGAAATCTACAGAAGGGGTTGGATGTTTTCTTCTTGTGGAGTTCAACCAGTACTTTGTATATCAACCCCTTGTCGGATGTGTATTCAGAGAATATCCTTTCCCATTCTGTAGACTGTCTTTGTATTTTGGTATCTGTTTCTTTTGAGGTGCAGAAGCTTCTTAGGAGGGATGGGTATTTGATCATTGTATAATTGAAATCTAAGCACAAAAATTTATAAGTCTACAACTGTACCTCATGGTGTTTCACTAATAAAAATTTAAAAAAGAATCTACAGAAAGAGAATATCATTTTACTTGACATGGAACATATTTGAATGATTTTACTGAAACTGAATTTAATAATTAAAAGTAAAGTTCAAACATCCAAACAAACATAAGAGGCTGGGGAGAAAGCTTGAAGACAGCATGCCCTGCTGCTCAGTGATTGCTGGCCCTAAACAGCACCTTAGCAGACAGGTAGCAACTGCCTGGCCGATAAAACCAGGTGCAGTATTACTGGCAGTGGCTCCTGGGCTCCCTGAGCACTGTCTGGGAGGATCCCCGCACCCCACATTAGGTTGATGCAGGTAGGTTCGATCTCTGGTATCCCATTTGGTCCCCTTAGTCTGTCAGGAGTAATCCTTGAGCACCGCCAGAACAAACAAAAATTTCATTTCAAAATACTGTATTCTACCAGATAGTCACTTCCTATTTTATGACGAATTTTATTTTTTTTTGCAAAAATAGAGTGGAGTGTGATCATTATATTCACCTTCACAGTCATCACATCCTGATGGCCAACTGCATAATTACCTGGTGAAATCTGGTATAATTTTTGAAGCCCCATTCAAATAAATACTATTAAGTTCCTACTTGTACCTTTATGTCGACCCAGATCTTTTCTTTGTACCCTCTCCAACTCCTTCCTTTGGGTGGAAAGTAAGTTTTTCTGCTCGATGGCTTTTAGAGCACATTCTCTGGAAATGTCTTTGAATTTCTCCCTCTGATCATTGTGACTTGACTTAACTGTAAAAGACGCCATTTTTACAATGAGACAGATCATGTTTCAAATTGCTCTATAAAAAGAGTAATGGACTACATAAGTAATTTGAGATTTTATATACTAAAAACTAAACATAGATTAAAAGTATACAATGAACTCATGTGCATGCTTAACTATAAATGCTAGGTGATTTGTCCTGTCACTGAATTTGCATTCCAATAAAACTTCTTGTGTGGCCCCTAAATCAAGTGTAAAGGGAAAAAAAAAGGGGCCTGAGACCCATTATTAAAATATTAAGTAATAAAGGTATTGGGACACTATGTCAAGTGCTATTGTAACTAAACTCATTTAATCCTTTGCAGTAGGTACAATTACTGCCTCCATTTCAGACCAGAAAACCGCAGCTCTGAAAAGTCAAAAACATCCCACGTTGACACAACTTGTAAACTTATCATTGGAATCATGAACCTAAACTGTTAGGTTCTGATGCTATGTTCTTTTTTAAACACAGTTTCAGGGCCAGAGATGTGGTTCAGTGGTAGAGCACTTGCCATGCATATGTGAGGCCCTTGGTTCAGTTCCCAGCACTGCATGTCTCCCTGGCTCTGTTGGGGAGCAACTCCAATGCCCAGGAGTAGCTTCAAAGCACAGCTGGGCATGGCCAAAAAATTAAAGAACAAAAACCAAGCTGTAGTTTTTGTTCTCAAAAATTTTTAAGTTTTCAAAAACTTAAAAGTAGGTATTGTTTAAATAGAAAAATGGTTTAATATAGGAGTTTCAATAATCCAGATTAGGGGAATTCAAGTTTTTCTTGTCATTTTATGGACGTTTAGGGCCATACCTAGTGGGGCTCAGGGATTACTCCTGGCTCTGTGCTCAAGGGTGAATCCCAAAGGTGCTCAAGTTACCATATGTGGTGCTGAGATTAAACCAGAGTTCTGCACGAAGTCAACTGCCTTAACCCCAATACTTGTTCTGTGGCCCCTGTTAAGAATATTTATTTACTAATCTATTTTAGTGAAACAAAATTTTTTTTTTTATTGAAAGAAATACACTGAGAGACATGTGAGAGGAGAGAAGGAGAGGAATAGGTATTTAAGAAAGAAAATGGATTTCTCCAGAGTGGAAAAACCAGGGACAAAAAGTGAGAAATACGTGTTCAAGAGAACACAGGCTTGGAAAAAAAACTGTTAAAAATTTTAGAAGCAATTCTTTCTTTGTTAATGATTACTGTTAATTCTCAGTCTTACCACTTCCATTAAATGCATTATTTATAGTCAGCTTTCATTTCATTAACATATTAAAAGATGCCTACAAAGTAGTCCTTTATATTCGTACATTCAGAGTGCCATAAATTTCAAAACTCTGAGTACACATTAAACTGCACTGTGATGTCTCAATTTGGACCCAAGTTGTGGAACCTGGTTGGTTAAAATTAAGGTTACAGGAAGACAATAACAAGAATGAGAACTGCATACACATGAAGTCAAAAAGGACCACAGACATTTTCAAATGGCCAATTTCCTTTTGGCATGTGAGCCAAGTTACTAACTCATGTTTTCCCTCAGCGAATAGGTAAGTCCTTGAAGGAAAGTCCTGCTAGACCTTCCCTTGGGATATGTCCAGACTGCCTCAGGCCTACCACAGCTCGTAGGGCATGAAGAACCTCAAACAGGGTGAAGTCAAACTCATTCAGAGTCTCAGAGAACAGCGGGTAGGGTGTTTGCCTTGCATGTGAACGACGTGGGTTCGATTCCTAGCATCCCATATGATCCCCTAAGCATCGCCAGGAGTAAATTCTGAGTGCAAAGCCAGGAGTAACCTCTGTGCATTGCTGGGTGTGACCCAAAAAGAAAAAAAAAAAAGACAGAGTCTCAGAAAGAAGCGGATGTCAACAGGTAAAATCCCTGTTATTTTCTTTTCATGCCCAAAACAGCTACATAAGTACTCTCCTTTATATGATCCTTACCAAAAACGACAGAGGTGGTATGTGAACAAGAGGTAAAACTGCACTTCCCAGGGACAGAATAAAAATGACCCTTTGAACACAGACCTGCTGCTCGGCTGCCTCCGGTCTGACTGTGGCTCTGATTAAATGAGGAACTATTATCGCCTTGAAATCTTGAATTTTCTCTCTGTTTTGTCTGATCTCCAAATCCATTTTCTTTTGAGTTATCTGACTTAGAAACCGAGGGCCTTTCAAATCCTTTAAGAAGGAAAAAGAGAGAGAAAAGGCATCATCCACTTATGCACCCCGACCAGAGGAGGTGACTATATCATCATTTAATACTATATGCGAAATTCCTTTCTGAGACATTCTAATACTATATATAAAATTGTTCCTGGAGTGAGGAGACACCATTGGACTACACTAGCACGCAACAGGAATGGATGGAGACGTTACTGGCGCCCACTCGAGCAAATTGATAAGCAATGGGATGACAAGTGATACAAGTGATATAAAAAATTACTTTAAAATTTAGAAAACTGGTAACTTTTAAGGATTTTTACCTGCTTTGTAATGTATCCACAATGGCCTAGCTGCTTTAGTGGTCTTCCAATATGCTACCACTTTCACAGCTCGGCATTAACTACTTGAAAATGCTACCAGTCATGCATCCCCATCTATGCTGCTGGTGGCGAAGCACTGGGAGTCCCGGAAGGTGATCAATGGTGAGGAGAGGGTTCTGTTTTTTTTTTTTTTTTAAATTTTCTCCTTTAAGAGATTAACTCAAATACTAGAATTTTCCTGATCTTACCTAGCTGAAAAAACTTCCGACATTATCCTCAATATCCATTTTATATTCAATATATTAGTATTCCTAGTGTATGGTAATAGAAAAACACTGAAAAGAATTAAGAAATAAAGAATTACCCATATGTTCTGCAACAGACTTATAATGGGACCAGTGGATGACCTGCCTGAGAGCATCTTCAGTGGAAACAGCTGTGCCATCTGGGTTCGCATAGAATAGCAGCAGCGGCTGGAAGTGGCATCGGACACACTTGGAAACCACATCCTTCCATCTGGTTCCAACCTTTTGAAAAAAATGCAGTAAATAACAAAACCTGGGAATCAATGTATTGCATGAAAAGGCAGAGACTAATTCATGCAATAAAATTTTTGTCTCTGTGGTGTCAGGGAAAAAAATCCAGGGCCTCACACATCTGAGGAATGGGCCTTACCACTGAACCACACCCCTGTTCCTGTGTACTGGGAAAAAAAGAACTATTTGGGGGAGGTGCCAGCGACGGATCCCAGTGTTTCCCCTGTGTAAGGCGAGTGCTTTACCATTTGGCCACATCCTCTGACCCCAGGTTTTAAACACTAAAGACATTCAGATGCCAGCAGTTAGATAATCCAAATGACAGATTTTATTTACTAGTAGCTTAAATATTCTGTCAAGGGCGAAAGGGTACGGTGTTTGCCTTATACGCACCCAAGCTGGGTTCCCCATACCCCATATGGTCCACTGAACATGGCCAGAAGTAATTCTTGAGCACAGAGCCAGATGTGGCCACCCCTCAAAAAATTTTTGTTAATATTATCATTCAGAAAATTCATAGGAAAATCATATATTTTCTATATCAAGATTTAAAGTATATTTTAAAAGGTTTTAACTTTTATGTTTCATTGAATTTTGACAAACATCTCAAGGAAACTTGAGGGAGAAGTATGGAAGAGTATTCACCATAGAAAGATAGCATAGCATGATAGCCATATGAAATAAAGGGTGTTTGACTCATTTACTCATCAAGCATAAAAGTTAATGCGGAATGAATTAATTTAAAAATGACCAAAGCTTAAAACAAAACAAAAACAAAAACAAAAAAAAACAAACACTGTCCTCCCGTTGTTCATCAATTTGCTCGAGCGGGTCCAGTAACGTCTACATTTTGAGACTTGTTGTTACTGTGTTTGGCATCTTGAATACTCCACGGGGAGCTTGCCTGGCTCTGCCATGTGGGCTGGATACTCTCAGTAGCTTGCCGGACTCTCTGAGAGGAGCGGAGGAATCGAACCCGGCTCGGCCGGGCTCGCTGCGTGCAATGCAAATGCCCTATTGCTGTGCTATTGCTCTAGCCAAAGCTTAAAGAATAAAAATAAAAATTAAATTAAATACCTTGGGAAAAGGAAGTATTTCTTAGGACATCAAACTATGTCCTATTTCATTTCAAAATGAAATTAAACCGAACTATTTCGTTTCAAAATAATGAAATGAAATTCATCAAAATAACTAATGTTTTTGAAAGAAACTAAAGAATTAAAAATATTAGGCTGATATGTAGAATAAAGACATTCTACAAGTTCTTAAAAAGATAGTACAACAGGGAAAATGGTCAAGACATTTGAACAAACACTTCAGCCATCAAAGTATAAAAATGGCCAATAAACATGAGAAGACGTTCAAAGGAGTATTAATCATGAGGGAACAGCACATTGAAACCACAATCAGATAACCTTATGAATTCACTAGAAGGGCTAAAACCAAAAAGACACCAGGAAGTGCCACTAAGAATGTGGGCTAACAGGAACTCTCATATTTTGCTGTTAAGAAAGGTAACTCAATATTATCACTTTGGAAATCAATTTGCCAGTTTTTTGTAAAACTTAACATATATTTAAAATATAACCAGAACAATTAAAAAATGAAGAACTGTTACATAAGACCTAAATGAAGCCACTATGCAAATGAAGAAATAGAGGGTACTCAGTGATTAAAACACCCTGCCCAGAAAACTGGGCTTACTGAATCTACCGGGGCTGGGAGAGAGCTGAAGGCCCTGAGTTTGATCACAGATACCAGATGCCCCAACCCCAGTAGCCCTGGTGGCCCCATGGAACCCACTATGCCCAAACCACCATAGTACCAGGCTGAATACTGCAGGGAATAGCCTCAGTCACCAGAGTACCACACAGCAGCACCCCTATTAAAAAACAAATACAAAAACAGGCAGTCTAGACTGAGGCCAGTGTTCTCCTGGGATGAGGGTCAGATGAGGAGTCTGACAGTAAAGGGACATGAAAAATTTTGTGAAGTGATGAAATGTTCTAGATAATGAGTGCAGTTCAGAGTGCATGCATTTGTCAAATGATAAGTCGCATTTTCATGTTTACAAATGATACCTCTACAAAGTTGATTTCAGAGTTTATCCGTCAGTATTTGAACCCGGGACTTGGCTTTCTCCGTGCACACTCCCCAGATGTTCTATAGGACCCAGGGACACCCAGCATCCCTGAGCCTCTTCCTGTTCATCTCCAACACTGTGCTGGTCTTCGTCCCCCCCAGGATGTACTCCCCCCCACACACCAGGTACCTGTGGGGGCGTGGCCTCTGCAGAAGTGGGCGTGGCCTAATTTTGGGTGGGTGGATGCTCACACAGTTGCAGGTAGTTAATTCATACACAGAAATCTCGTGGAACATCTCAGTCCCCATACCTACACACCAACATGAAGAAACAACGCAAATCCAGACCACGTGGGGAGGATGATGAAAGGAGTCCAGAAGCCTCAGTAGGTGCTACTCACCCAAGGGACCTCTTTGAGAAAGAATTCAGATATGAAGAAGTTCAATGAACTCAATGAAACAGTGAGACAGATATCCAGTAAATTAAAGGAGGACATGAGAGAAACAATTGAGAAATTACGGGAAGAAATGAGAGCAGAAATTGGAAAGCTATGCACAGAAATGTCACAAATTAAAGATTCTGTAAATAAAATAAAAAATTCAGTCTGTGCCCTCAACAGTAGAATGACCACAGAATCCAGTGAGCTGGACGATCAGCTGCAAGAAGTCAATAGGCAATAACAAACAATGACAAAAGACCTCAAAATAGCTCTAGAGCGAATCAGAGACCTAGGAGATGATTCCAAGAGGAACAACATTAGAATCACTAGAGTACCGGAAGGTCAGGGAAACAATTCCAAAGAAAAAGCCATGGTTAAACAAATCATTGCTGAAAAATTCCCAGAGCTGGACAATGCAGCAATTCAGATTCAAGGAGTCTGAACGGTGCCAGCTAAAAGAGACCCTAACAAAAACATTCCAAGACATATCATAGTTAGAATCATGGATGCCGTGGATAGAGACACAATACTGCAAGCAGCAAGGGCAAAGAAAGAAATCACCTACAAAGGAGCACCCCTTAGATTCACAACAGACCTATCAGAGGAAACCCTTCAAGCCCAAAGGTGGTGGGATGTAAGTGAAAAAACTCACTAAATGAAGGCTTCACCAAGAATTCTCTATCCGGCTAAACTCTCACTCAAACTTGAAGGAACGGTACACTATTTTGTGGATAAATAGCAGCTCAGGAACTTCAGAGACTCAAAACTAAACCTAAAAGAAGGGCTAAAGGGGCTACTATAAGACAATACAAACCCTATAAGCACAAGAGACCCTTACAGAAAGATGACACAAAACCCCATAATAATAATCTCTCTCAACATCAACAGTCTAAATTTACTAATTAAGAGACACAGAGTGGCAAAATTGAATCAGAGACAGAACCCAACATTCTGCTGCCTACAAGAAACTCATCTCAACAGTCAGAGCAAACACGGACTCAAAGTTAAAGGATGGAAAACAATCCTGCAAGCAAACAGCTCTCTCAAAAAAGATGGGGTGGCCATACTAGTATCCGACAACATAAATTTCAGGTTGAAAAAGATTAGAAGGGACAGCGAAGGCCATTTTCTCTTCATCAAGGGATACGTACAACAGGAAGAAATCACACTCTTAAAATGTATATGCACCTAATGAGGGAACAGCTAAATATTTAAAACAACTGCTAACAGATTTTCAGGAGAACATTGCTAGCAACACAATAGTAGCCGGAGACTTCAACATCACCTTATCACCTGGATAGATCAACAAGAACAAAACTCAGCAAGGAAACATTGGCTTTAAAAGAATAGAAGAGAAAGGTATAGAACTATACAGGGCTTTGCACCCCATAAAGAAAGAATACACATTCTTCTCCAGTGCACACAGAACATTTTCCAAAACAGACTATGTGCTAGGACACAAAACATACCTCAATAGAATCAGGAAGATAGACATAGTATCAACTATCTTTTCAGAGCACAATGCACTGAGAATAGAAGTGAATCACACACAGACAAGGAGAACCAAATCAAACACCTGGAAATTAAACAACTCAATGTTGAACAACGAGTGGGTCAGGAAGGAAGTCAAGGACAAAATCAAAAGATACCTGGAAACAAATGAGAATGAAGACACGAGCTACCAGAACCTATGGGATGCAGCTAAAGCTGTGTTAAGGGGAAAATTAATAGCTCTGCAAGCATTTCTCAGGAAGGAAGAAAGGGCCCACATAAATAACTTGACTTCACAGCTCAAGATCTTAGAAAAGGATCAAAAAAGGAGTCAAATCAGGCAGAAGGAAAGAGATCATAAAACTTAGAGCAGAAAACAACAGCATGGAAACCAAAGGAACAATTCGAAAGATCAATAAAACCAAGACCTGGTTTTTCAAGAAAATAAACAAAATCGATAAACCATTAGCAAGACTCACAAAGAAAGAGAGAGAGAGAGAGAATCCTAATAAACGGAATCAGAAATGAGAAGGGGGATATCACAACAGATACCAAAGAAATTCAAAGATCATCAGAGACTACTTTGAAAGTCTGTATGCCATGAAACAAGAGAACCTAGAAGAAATGGATAAATTCCTGGATTCCTATAATCCCCCAAGGCTGAATCAAGAAGATCTAGAGTACCTGAATAGACCTATTAACATCAAGGAGAAATTGAAACTGTAATCAAAAGTCTTCTCCAAAACAAAAGCCCAGGTCCAGATGAATTCACTAGTAAATTTTTCCAAACATTTAAAGAGGTCCAGGAAACTGAAGAAACAAACTTCAAAACAGTTTTTATGAAGCCCATATCTCTTTAATACCAAAAGGAAACAAAGACACCACAAGAAAAGAAAACTACAGGCCAATATCCCTGATGAACATGGATGCGAATACTCTCAACAAAATACTAGAAAATAGAATTCAACAACTCATCAA